TCCCCTTTATGATGAAATAGTAGTGTAAAAAGCTGTATTTAAGTTATTCTGTGCAATACTTAATTTCAAAAAAAAAAAAAAAAACAAGCTTATGGAATTATGCTTGCAGCAAACTTAAAAGTAACCATTTGGGGTAAAAATCAGAACACGTACTCTCTATATAATTAGGAAGTTTGACTGGTTTGAAGTTATGTAATGTAACATTCTTTCCTTTGACATTTTAAAAGGTACAATGTACTTTCTTATTTACATTAGGAATTCAGTTAAAGGATCCTTGTACCTCTGCCAAAAACTAGAACAAAGTATTGGCAACTGTTTTTTACAGCTTGTATAGCTTTGATAAATCATTTCTGAAAAGAAAACCATACCTTGGGGGACGTTTATGAAAAAATATTGACAATGAAATAAACAAAATATAATTATTAACAATAGTGTTCTGAATGTAAAAATTTAGCAGGCTATACCAGGATTCGAACCCAGTGCTTCAGACTGTTATACCATCGCTCTAACAGACTGAGCTACCTAGTCAACAAAAGTGTCTGGGCCCAACTCTGCTACAGTTAAATATTCAAACAGAAGTTAAGAGGCATACGGAAAAAAAAATACAGTGCAGTGGGACAGGGATCCTTCACGACCCCTTGCCTGTCCTACTGCACTGGGGTTTTCATATATCTAGTAATTTATATATATATAACCTTCCCTTAACAAACAGAACACTGTTATTAATTAAATTTTGTTTATTTCATCTTTAATGCTTTTCCATTTATGTCTGGCCTGCAACATACGTTTTTCTTTTCAGATAAAGTTTTATCAAAGCTATAGTTCCAACAGTTCCAATTGTGTAGTTATACAGTTTTTGGCAGTGGTATGGGGATCCTTAACCGCAATATTTAATTCATGAATATTAAATAACAACTTCTAAATCTACCACAATCAGTAAAAGATTTTCTTCAATGTCCGCTACAATTTAAAGTAAAACTTAGATAAAAATGTACATCCTGTTTAGAAAAGGATCAGCTCAGGTATAAAACACAAACAGTATTTACTGTAATTAGCACCCCTCCCCTCTTTTCAGCACTTTTTGAATTTTCACTGGGGATGTATCCGACAGTTATATTACATTTAAATGCGCGCCACAACAGATGTTTTGTAATTCGTAATAAGCACCCTTTTCAGTCAATTTTTATGTGCCCTGGGCAATTATTAGGACAAATATAGTATAACTATGACTTTATACATTTGTGTATATATATAATTACCTTGAAGTCGTGATTATGTGTTTAAATTAATGACTATAATGTTCATCTAGAAATATATCCTGGTACCAAATTCAAGCTGTTTTCATTTTTATTCAAATTTATTAAAGGGAAATAACTTGTTAGTGACTTTATGCACTATGCATAAATAACTATCCCAGCAGAAATCCAGTGAATATCAACTTGCCCAGATGGCGCCAGGCAGACAGATGAAGAAACAGCTGATGCTTGCCATAGGGTATTAATATATGATGCTAACACAGAAAATGTGTATCATACGTAAAATTGTTTGTGACAACAGTCCTGCATGCTCACAATTTTTAATCAATAGTTTCTAAGCACCAACAGTTTATCAGAATTTGCCGGGACACAATCTGGTGCTCTCCCGACAGACAAATGACATACCAATGACCACCAGGTGGCACTCTAGGCTGGACCAGAACTAGCCCTTTAACCCTTTCACCATATTGGACTCATTCATATCAATGCATGGTAGAGTCTACTGAAGTTACATAGGGGTGAAAGCGTTAAGGATCCTTGTTCCACTGCATTTCATTTTTTATAAATACAGTAACTATCCCTTAATTTCGTTCTGGATATAACTGTAGCACAGTTGTGCCAGGACATCTGTCGACCAGGTTTAGCGTTGCTCAGTCGGTGAGAGCGATAGTATAAAAGAAATGTTACAATCCGAGGTCTTTGTTTTGAATCCCTGTCCTACAGTTCTACTCAAATTTTTTTTATTCTCATAACACTGATGTTGGTTATATTTTGTTTTTATTTCTCTATATTTTTCATAGAGGTCTGACTAGGTATGGTGAAAGTTTTCTTTTCAGAAAATAATATCTATAGCCATGCTAGAAAAACAGTTTCAAATGCGTAATGACAGTTTTTGGCAGTGGTACGGGGATCCTTAACAAGTATATATAACAAAACACTGAAGACTAAATCTTGCTAGTACTTTCGCCAACCTTTGGCTCTTCAGGCGATTTCGGGGAAATGGCCTGAAGAGCCATAAGATGGGCAAAAGTACAAGCGTGAATTAGTCTTCGGTCTTTTGTTTTATTTATATTTCTACGATCCCATGGGCCCTAAACAATTTTTACTGCTACGTATGTATGCTTAGTAAATTATAAACTATCTGATAGTACTCTACAACCTTATACAAGGTATCAAATATCACATCATTATTTATAATCTACCTGTACTGCTTAACATTATGTTAGCACCTGTACAACAAATCAATAACAGAGTTATTATCACAGATTTACAGCTGAAAAAATCTCTAAATAATGCATTTTATAAAAAAAAATATACCCCATTAAAATTTTGACATATTCTGCTAAGTCAGTGTAAATTTCTATATTATAGGTCCAGCAGGCTTAACGCTTATCCTGTATTTTGTATTCTGGATTCCTATCCAGGAAAAAGACAGTGGAAAGAAGTTGTATATAAAAATGTATATCAAACTGAAGAAAATGCATGGTTACAATGTATGTCAGATGACAACAATTTTGTACGATTTATGTCCATTCACCCTACGCTCGAGTCACATTATTTATGGTAATCAGCTGCAAAGTATTCATAGTATTCTAAATCTATACACTGTATCTTAATTATACCAAGAGTTTGTGTAATGTCTCCTATGTCAAAACTCGTGAAATTATGTCATTATTGTGGTAAATTATATTATGATACTGTTACACATATTATCTTACATTGTGACAAAACTACTGAAGTAAGAGACAAATTATGGTGTCACTTAATTAGTACATGTGATATACAACTCAATGTTTCTTTGCATAATTTACCCGATTTTGATTGACTAATACCCTATTGGGTAGTGAATTAAATTATAAGATGTCATCTAAAAATTATGAACAATTAATATAAGATTAGGGGTAATATCACATGTGTATCAAATATTGAAAAAAATAATACAAATCATCTGATTGTATATTTAAGCAATGATGCCCTTACAATGTACATCTCCTTTCTCTTAAAAAATATTTATGTACACATTAACTCATTCACCCCTGAAATTTCATAATGAACTATTCCAACCTTTAAATTGGAAGAGTTCAAATGTTTCTCCAGGGGTGAATGAGTTAAAATAACGATACGTTTGTACTTTTTCAATGTCCATGTATGTTTACATGTTGATTAATTCTTAAATGTAACTATTCTGTTTATGTAATCTTCATTTTGGAGGAAATAAAGAGAATAAGAAGAATAATAGTTAACAATTATTAAGATTAGGTACCAAGTCAAGTTAATAAATATGTGTATTTACCAATTGCCTGGAGATAGAATAGCAAAGGTAATTATAACACTACAATTTACATTATAATTTCCTGATCTTGAATTAAGAAAAAAAATGCTAAATGGGCATTTAGATAGTATCATCATTGATCAAACATTACAGTGACAGTTCAAGTAAGTAAACATATCTCTTAGTGAATTGCCCGGGGATAGAATAGTAAAACACACATTTATGTATATGCAAGGCAGTTCACCAACTAAACCAAGTGATTTAGAGAAATCCGATAACGGGTAAATAACATGCATATGCATCATAACATTATCTACTGGTATACGTATACATGTATATAGACAGATGACAATCAACTCGTACGGCTCAAATCAACAGTGACAAGCAATTTCTTTCCGAAGAGTTTCGGCCAAGAAACACAACGATGAAGTGACAAGCGTATTGATCAGTATATGACCTACTCATGGTCAGTTCATCTGGCCAATATTTCCTGGAAGGAAAAAATTAGTATGCCATATGAAGAAAGGCTTAATTCCGGACCAATATTGTATTTAGGGCTAAGACCTGCCTACTTGGCGCCATGCCAACAATCGTTTCCAGTATCCCACTCCCAGGTGACATGTGGGAGTGTAGCAGCCTCAATTTGAAACTGGTCTCAATTCACAAATAGGCAGGACAGGACGTCCATTGTTGAATTCCACTAAAGAAATGCAGAAAACCGGCTTGGTCTTCAGAAACATATTTCCAAAGTTTTACTTAGTTCAGACAATCGTTACATCCACTGAAGAGGATACGAATGGATTGATGTTTTGACAACCCCAAACCATTGAGGAGTGTGCGACGTCGATCCACTACCCACCAACCAAATGACATCTCATATCTCTCTTAAGATTCTTAAGTTTGGAAATATATAATATCAACATTTTTCTTCATACACAAATAATATACATATTAACTCATTCACCCCTGAAATTTCATAATGAACTATTTCAACCTTTGAATTGGAAGAGTTCAAATGGGGTGAATGAGTTAAACTTGTCTCAAATTTTCCAGACCAACTGACCCATTTGTAGAGCTATGACTTGAAATGTTTAAATTGTTTGTTTATGAAGTAAAACATTGATATGATATATTTTCAAACTCTGGATGGTAAGAAAATTGGAATTTGACATTCAATGTGCATATGATCTACATGTGCATAAAAATGTACTATGAGTATAAGCTTGTTACAGACAGCTTTCTTAAGCCTCATCTGACCTATATAATATTGCTTACTTTGATGGTGAGCTTGTTACAGTGAGCCTTCTAAGCCTCATCTGACCTATATATATATAATGCATACCTTGATGGTGAGCTTGTTACAGTGAGCCTTCTAAGCCTCATCCTACCTATTCAAATATTGCCTACCTTGATGGTGAGCTTGTTACAGTGAGCCTTCTAAGCCTCATCCTACCTATATAAATATTGCCTACCTTGATGGTGAGCTTGTTACAGTGAGCCTTCTTAAGCCTCATCCATGTTGGAAGGTCCATGAGGTCCATGAGAATGGCCTCATCGAGCTCCAGGTTAGATAACTCCCCCTCCCCGCGCAGAGTGCTGAGGTTGATCTTATCCGGGGACAAGTTCTTGGTGAATCTAAACAAAACAGACAAAAATATCCATATATATACAAGACTAAGTTAGATGCCCACTCAATACATGTACCAATCAAATTCTGTATACATCAGATATATAAAATCAAAAAGAGCATATCATAATTAATAATAATAATTTGAGGTTCTTACATAACGCTTTATCACAACCTAGTTCGAAGGTCGTCTCAAAGCGGTTCACAAATTATTGTCCGTGGTTATAGGGCCTTTGCAACCAGCCAATATCTTTCTCAACTCCCTAGGGAGCATACAGCCGGTGCTGCCATTCGGCGCTCACAGCTAGCATTCTACAATTCTAGCACTACCCAACCACATACTCATTTACAGCTAAGTAAACTGGACCAAGCAGAGTAAAGTATCTTGCTCGAAGACACAACACAGTGCCACGCCGTGCCTCGACTCAAACTCACAACCCTTCGGTCATGAGCCCGGCGTCCTACCACTAAACTACCGTGCCTCCAATATATATCCATTTGAAGTAGCTATATAGGTAACTAAAGAAAAATACACTATAAATACTGACTACATAACTAGCAGCTTTACAGGTTTTTTAGCATCTTTCAACTTTCACAGTGCTCTTAAGGTTTTCTAGCAGCTTTTTTGTTTTTTAAATTGAAGAGACCGGGTGAAGGGTGAAAAGTGCTAGTTCTGAAGCCAGAAATATATATATAATATGCTTATATATTAGAACACTAAATGATGTTAACAGTGTGTAGAAAATTAAGTCGAACTTTCGGGGCAGCTCGCTCCTTTTTTAAGACATATAAGAGACAAAGACAAACTATGCATTTCAACAAAATATGTATATTAAATATTACAAAAGAACACAAAGTTTTTCGCCAAAAAAATGTAAGTATTTTCACCATGTGAATTCCTATAAAAAAAAGTGAAAGAGCCGTCCAAATGAGCTTTGTTGCTCATTAAAACTTGTATCGTCCACAATATAAATACAATTAAGGAAGTCAAAAATTAAAAGTTTAAACTTACTTTAAATTTTAACTTATATTTAATTTATATATACACAAATAAATTACCCTTCAAAGGGCTTGTATATATACAAATCAATTACCTCTTAACGTATGTATATATATAAATCAATTACCTCTTCACGAATGTATATATATAATTGAAAACCCTTTAAGTGTGTATCATATATACTCATACAATTTTAAATGACATTGATATGCACGAGTCCGAAATTATCTCTCATCAGTTAGTCCGATTAACTTGACAGTTGTGGTACACAGAAATCTTTGGAAGTGCATGTCTGTATAGGTCTGTAAGTGGATTTCTAGAGCTATTACAGATAACATCATTTGTTTTCTCCATCTACACAACATGCAATACTATATATATTGCCATCCTGGGAAGTAGACATGTAGTAGACTGCTCACAGGGGGAAAAGGATACAAAACTAAGAAAGAGCAGAGCAATGACCAGTCTCGGACCAAGATGTCCGAACTCGAGATAGACGCTATAATCAGCTGAGTTACACCTGGTCAATAGGTTATATGTATGCCCTGCTGACAATTTAAGTTATAAAATATATAGTAATTAGGTTCAAGTAAAAAAAAAAAAAAAAAAAAAAAAATCCCCAATATCTTCATTTTTTTTTTTTACAAAAGACAGCACAAAACACAACTTGCATACACTCTTGCTCTCGTACTATGGACATTTAAGGAGAACTTTCGACTTCCCATCCGAGTGGTGCATTACACAAGTAGTACCTGTATATTTGTGACTGTAAAATTGCGGTCTGGAGTTGGAATGAATGATCAGGCTCACTATCAACCTTTCTATGTAGGCTTCTATAAAATTATGTATACTTTTCTTGCCATCGTTTATTAATATATAGTGATATAATGAAACAACTTACTTTTTTGGTACAACATCGATGAACATGCTTATTGCAAATTCTTGCTGATAATAAATTCATATTTTGTCCAGGGAATATGATCTCATAGCCATCAAAACTTCACAATGAATTTTTGACTATAGCAACTTAATGCTATATAGTGAAGTCCCTCATTCCTGTGGTAAACTTTGCATACATATAACCACAATCTACTTCACAGGTATTGTGATTATAGAGACAATACCGTATTTCATGTAATGAAGATACCAGCTTCAATAAGCTAGTCCCTAAGGACTCAAAAATAATCACATGAATATGTTTACAGTCAAACATGTGTAAAGGGACTACCCTTGGAGAGTAGAAAAAAAAGTGGTCTTTCAGCACAGGTTCAATTAAAAGTGGCCTTTTAATACAGGTGGTCTCTTAACGGATGTGGTCTTTTAACACAGGTTCAATTAACAATGTAATCACTACAATGGAGAATACTAAAAGTGGCCTTTTAATACAGGTGGTCTCTTTATACAGGTGGTCTTTTAACACAGGTCCAATTAACAATAAAATCATCACAATGGAGAACACTTAAAGTGGCCTTTTAATACAGGTGGTCTCTTAATTAATGGAGGTGGTCTTTTGACACAGGTTCAACTAACAATGAAATCACTACAATGAGGACATTAAAAGTGGCCTTTTAATACAGGTCTCTTAATGGATGTGGTCTTTTAACACAAGTTCAACTAACAATGAAATTACCACTGTGAGAAATACTAAAAGTGGCCTTTTAATATACAGGTGGTCTCTTAATACAGGTGGTCTCTTAATACAGGTGGTCTTTTAACACAGGTTCAATTAATAATGAAATCATCACAATGGAGAACACTAAAAGTGGCCTTTTAATATACAGGTGGTCTCTTAACACAAGTTCAACACTAACAATGAAATTACCACTGTGGGAAATACTAAAAGTGGCCTTTTAATACAGGTGGTCTCTTAATACAGGTGGTCTTTTAACACATGTCCAATTAACAATAGAATCATCACAATGGAGAACACTTAAAGTGGCCTTTTAATACAGGTGGTCTCTTAATACAGGTGGTCTCTTAATACAGGTGGTCTCTTAATACAGGAGGTCTTTTAACACATGTCCAATTAACAATAGAATCATCACAATGGAGAACACTAAAAGTGGCCTTTTAATAACAATAGAATCATCACAATGGAGAACACTAAAAGTGGCCTTTTAATACAGGTGGTCTCTTAATGGAGGTGGAAGTAAGACCAGGTTTGACTGTAGTGAGTGAAATTCCATTTATTCTGTTCTAGATTATAACATCCGGAAGTCACCCAAAAAATACAAAATCTGCTAGAATATTATCTGCTGAGGCATCGACAAATTTGATATTCCTGAATGTCATAATGCTTTATTAACGAGGGATTTCAGCTAGAATTGGGAATGGCAGGGATAAACAGACCTTCATGTCTCTGTTGCAGTTGGGAAAATAATCAGAATATGAAGTTGTTACAGGAGGAAAACTGTGTCTAAATAAAGACACCAGATTCGTCATTTACCTAAAAATATGGAGTGTGTGTAGGCTTCCTTCATTGTTCAATTATCTGACAGCGACATTATCAATAAATTTCAAATTAGTCTAGCTCTGCTTCCCATTTGCTTTTCAAATCAATTTTGAAGACCAAAATGAAATATATGGCAAATTAACACACCAGGGGGAATGTGTCAAATAATGACGTCATTGCGTCACCACCTTCAATTCAATAACGGGTGAAGGTAGTGGTACATATGACAGGCAATTTATAGAAAACATATTGATGGCTTAAATCTCAGTATGTGCACGCATTGAAGTAGGTGCTGGCTATATCACACAGTACATACAAGTCAAGGTAGTAATCCTCCAATTTAAAGGTTTATAGTATATGTAATATTCAATATCCACTTCAAAATTATGTAGGCGGCACAGAATCGTTCTGCATCAGTCTACCTTTATGTTTACTGGTATCACGAGAGTGGAACAAGTTTGAAATTCGGAGTCCATGGGCCTACAAGACAAATATTGACTTCACGCAATAAACATTTTGTATTTCTGTGTGTGCAAAATGATCAAGAAAATAATTTGCAATGTAATTTAATGACCACAATAAACAATTAATCTGATGTATTTTTGGTTGTCAAAATATTGAAGTACATGTTAAGATGTATGGATGCTTCTATGGGTTAATGAAGTGTATATACCAAAGTCATCCTCTGTACTGTATATATCTATTCAAAATATTAAAGGTATATATCTGTAAGAAAAAAGTGGATATGTCATATGAAGTAACAATTATCATTTAGACAGTTACATTTGGTCATTATTTTTCACCACAAATCAGTTCCACATCTAAGTATCAATGTTTGAGGCTACAGGAGCCAATTAAGGAATCAACTCAAGTTTCCTCTAGGTCTCCCTACACTCGTGATCAGGAGCCAAGGAATCATCTCAAGTTTCCTGATCTAGATCTCCCTACACTCAGGAGCCAAGGAATCAACTCAAGTTACCTGATCTATATTTCCCTACACTCAGGAGCCAAGGAATCAACTCAAGTTTCCTCTAGATCTCCCTACACTCAGGAGCCAAGGAATCAACTCAAGTTTCCTCTAGATCTCCCTACACTCAGGAGCCAAGGAATCAACTCAAGTTTCCTCTAGATCTCCC